TGGATTTTATTCTTGAATTTCCTATCCCATCAACATGGCAAGAGTTGGAATCATTTATATACATGGTAACATACCTAAAGAACTTTGTCCCAGGAAGAAGTGACCATATAAAGATAATGAAGGAAGCAGCAGTATGGAAATGGGAAGAGATAGAGAGAGGAGGAAAAGTGAAGGGAAGAAGAGACCCAAAAAGAAGAAAGGTATTGGAAAAGTTTGAGTGGGGAAAAGAGCAGCAAAAATCCTTTGATTATATCAAATTGGCGATTGGAGAAGTGAACCTATTTGGAACTCAAGAGATAAGAGGTTTTATCTGTCAGTTACAGTTTCTCAAAGAGGGTTGGGAGGAGTGCTATTTCAACTAGATGAGATAGATGAGATTGAACTGGATAAGGGGATGGAAAAAAGGATAAAGAATGGGAAAAAACTATACCCAAAAAGAAAAGAGTTAGTAATTGATTATATCTCTGAGCCATATAAAGGAGCAGAAGGGAGATACCCAAGAGAGGAGAGAGAAGTATTGGGAGTGGTTAGGTGTTTGGAGAGTGTGAAGTGGCGTATCCTTGGTAGCATGTTTCCTATTGTTGTTTATACTGATTCCCCAGCTATTTTGAGAGTGTTGTCAGGAGACGGAGTTAGAGGAAGATTGGCGGAGTGGCAAGAAATCCTTTCTGAATTTGATTTAGAAATAAGGCATGTAGACAGTGGAGATGTGAAGATAGCTGACGGATTGTCGAGACTGCCGGAGGGTGTACGGAGATGGTTGGATCCAGGAAAGTATGCAGATCATGATGTTGGGAGAACTTCAATAACTGTGTCCATGGTTGAGGTGGTACAAAGAAATACTGGAGGTAGAAGGGTGATTGATATTGTTAAGGGGAAAGGGGAAGAAAAAGAGGAGATGAGGGTCCAAGAGGAGATAGAGAAATGGGGAAAATGGATCAGTGAGATATGGTATGGGGAGATTGTCTGGTATAAGCTGACAGGAACAATAAAAGAGAAGAGGATGGATGGAAGAAAGGAAAGGATAGTAAAAAAGAAGGCGTCGAAATTCACATTAATAGAGAAGAAAGGAGAAGTGGGACTGGGGTACGTTGAGAAGAATGGCACTATCTCATGGTGTGTTCCTGAAGGGCAAGTGGATCAATTGTTGGAAAAACTGCATGATGCACATGGACACTTCGCCAAAGGGCTTATGATGAGAAATATTGTTGGTAGATATTACTGGCCAACTCGGATGAAGGATATCGTGGAATGGTGTGGTTCATGCGATGCTTGTCAGCGACTGGGACCGATTCGGCGTTCAACAGAGCTGATACCAATCCTCCAACTTCAGCCAATGGATATGCTGGGCCTGGACTTCGCAGGTGTGATTCGGCCAATTGCAGAAGACTTTGGAGCCCGCTATATCATTCTGGCAGTAGATTATTTCTCAAGGTTTCTTTTCGCGAGGACAGCTATCAGAAGCGATGGAGCCAGTGCTGCCAGATTCGTGCAAGAGGAGATTGGGCGGAAATTTGGTTGGCCTAGAGCTATGTATTTTGATAATGGGAGCCACTTTGTCAAAGGACCTCTTCAACAGTTGTTAAAGGAAAAGGGGGTAAAGGTATTCACTGCACCTATTACCAACCCACGAAGTGTGGGGCTTGCAGAGCGATATGTGCAGACGGTGTTGAAGGGTCTGAGGGCAGCAGTGTTGCATCATCCGGCAGACCTATCATACTGGGATCGCCATTTGGAAGACCTTGTCCTGTCAATCAATAACCGGAAACTACCACATGGATACTCCCCTAGTCAACTATTTCTAGGGTTCGAGGCTCGAAGAGGAGAAGTAGATGATTTGGTCGATGATGTCCTTCGAAGCGAATCCTTGATTGAGAAACTGGATGAGCTGGGAGCCCAAAGTAACTTAGTGGTTGAAGAGAGAGAGTATTCATACCGGCTTGCGATGCGGGAGGAAATGCGAGAGCGTGCTGTGGAACATGTGTTTCAAGCTCAGGAGGATCTGCTTCAAAGAGAGAGCCGGGCTAGGTATGCTATGCCACAAGAGGGAGATCTGGTACTGCTCCGAAGGTTTATCATAGACAAGGAGTATGGAAGGAAATTAGAGCCGCGATGGGAAGGCCCATACCTGCTGAAGCGGGTAAGCCGGTCTGGAGTGTCAGGAGACTTGGAGGAGGTAGAGAATGGGCAAAGGAAGGGGAGGTATGCTTTCGATTCCTTAAAGGTCTACGTACCGAGAGAGAGGAGGGGGGTGACGGCACATCAAGGACAAAAGAGAGGAGTTGAAGATGTCGAAAGCGACAGTGGTGAGGGAGAAGTGTTGAAGGTGAAGGGCGAATTGACAAAGGAGCGAGGTGGCGACAATTGGCGTTGAGTGGTTGATGAATGGGGTGAAAGGACTGAATGGGTAAAGAAGGCAATGGACACTGGCAAACGGGGGGGGGGGTTTCGACGGACAGGAGTCACGGGGGCGGTGAAAGGTGACGGAGAAGAGGTGTTGACAAGTGGTGATAATGGCAGTGGTTGATGAATGGGGCGAAAGGACTGGATGGGTATAGAAGGCGATGGATACTGGCAAACGGGGGGGGGTGTCGACGGACGGGAGTCACGGGGCGGTGAAAGGTGACGGAGAAGAGGTGGTGACAAGTGGTGAGAATGACAGTGGTTGATGAATTGGGCGAAGAATTGGATGAGTGTGTAAGGCGATGGATAGGAGGGGTATAATTGGAGCCGCACACAGGTTCGACGATTTTGATTCCGCGGTTCAAAATTGTCGAAGGGGGGGAGTCTGTGGCGGCGCGTGCAAGCATGTTACCGGAAGTAGGCTGATTGCCGAAACCGGGAAGTGGGGGGTAGGTCATGTATGTATGAGAGGGGGGGACGCACGAGAGATTCTGCGAAAATCAACCTACACTGAATAATACAAAATTTCTTGTTAACGAAGAAAACCCTTCCACAGCACCATCGAACACCTTAGATACGTACTACAGTCTAACCTTGCTATACCGGACGAGTAAAAATCCGGCACTTTTCATCCGGTATAGCAAGGTTCCGGTATAGAATAAAATGCTTGGCAGCTGTAAAAGGGGGATGGCAAAAATTTGTATAGAAATTACTAGAGTAGGAAATAAACACGCTTAGCAAACATTAACTAAATCCAAGTCTATTTAATATTCATTGCTCTCACCATCTAGAAAAGTGTCAAGCCTTGAAAGTTCTTGGGGAGTATCGAATACACAAGCATCGACTATAGCCAGAATATGCAACTCTGACTGTTTCTCTAAAAGCCTATCAATTCACACAAAAAAAAAAACTTCAAAATCTACAAGCATGGCTCCAGTCTTCCACCAGCAGCAGCGACAGCAGTAGTAGCAGCAATGGCGACATCGGTGGCAGCAGCAGAGGTAGCAGCAGTGGTGGCAGCAGCAATAGCAGCAGTGGTGGCAGCAGCGATAGCAAGTGATAGCAGCAGCGGTGACTTATCGATAGCCGCAGTGATGGTAGTAGCAGTTACAGCAACAGAGTGGTAAACAACCAGACTAAGTGGTAAAGTGGGGTAGTCTAAGATGTATTAGTATTAGCGTGTCCGGTATAGCAAATATTATTTGTATGGAGACAGGGGGGTAGTTGTCGGGGGGTTTCTGTCCGGTCCGGTATTGTTAGGGCGTCCGGTATAGCAAGGGCAATTTGTATGGGAAATGGATGTCCGAATCAGAGGCCATCTGGTATAGCAAGGTTTCCAGTATAGCGAGGTCCGGTATAGCAAGGTTAGACTGTAGCATCAAACACTTATGCTGCGATAGACACCTAATGTGCTGGATATTAATTATGACGACACTGGTGCAGTATAAGGCTACCTAAAAGTTCTCGAAGCCATACCGGAATCAAGGCCATAGTAGTCAATAAGGCCCCTAGATGACCACTGTCGCTGCTAAATATCCAGTGAATTCTTGAATAAGACGACATATTTTCGCAGCGGAGATATGTAGTTGTAATTGCATATATGTGCGTACCAAATCAATTTCATCTGTGTTACTGTTAAACATAGTTCATAAGACCTCCCGAATAGGACGCATTTGTGTATAAGATTCTAGTAGCGGAACCCCTGCACAGATCTCGTAGAAGATTTGCTCTCATTCGCAGGTTAGTTGCTACAGTAGTTAATTTCGTTTCGCTATAAATGCAACCATGTCTGCTCCTCACAGGCCCCTCTAGCAGCTCCGGATAGTCTCCCTAATATATAGTCTAGCCTCCTCTATTGGATCCTATATTATTTGATACTGGATAATGCAAATAGGCCCAAAGTTGTGACTTTAAGCAATGTCAACCTTTATTAGTAGATATAAGTAGCATATTGACTGCCTTCACCCGTTAATATTCTAGTTGAGAGTGCATACTCTTTTTCTAGCCTGAAGTGTATATGGAGTGAAATTCACAATTGCATTTGTATGTCGCATACTTCCGGAAATACATCCGACAGTCTTGCAAGTCAAAAACAAATATTTAGGCTCAAACTGTGGCTCAAGGAAATATAAATATATCAAATAAAATTCCGCACATTCATTTGGCCAACTGGGCCCTTGTTATTCAGCAGATACCCAAATAAATAGTAGATATTTTAGTTATTGTGCGCCGGTGGATTTGCGGCATACCATATATGTTTTGCATAGTACAGTGAAGGAATATCGAGTAATCTTATAGTTACTGGATCTCATCTTAGTGATCTACGAATACGCTCTACCTCTCATGGCTAAATTTCAACCACAGACTCTTCCCACGTAATTTTAATCTCGAGAGCCGCAAGAGGTCCCTCTGCTGATCTCTCAATTTCTTGATCCATTGCTCAATTTTTTAGGCCACCATCCCAACTTCGCACTCAATCTCTCCTTCACTTTTTGCATCAACACTCAACTCACCTCAGTACCAAACTCTAACAGCTTCTCACCCACCTAACCGTCGCAGAGTCACGGGACCACCCTAGCACTCATAACCAACAATTCGGCTCAATGGTCTAGTCGTATGATTCTCGCTTTGGGTACATCACAACAATGTAGTACATGCGAGAGGTCTCGGGTTCAATTCCCGATTGAGCCCTTGAACCTCAGTTTATATTGTAAACTTTGATTTATTTTTTTATTTTATTCAATATGTTTGCGGAGAGAAGGAGGGTTCCGATGGTTGTGTTCTCAACTTTTTGACCATGTTCATGCGACATGCAACTACGCCAGTTCTCAATCCCTTGTGTGCGCGGTACTTTCATCAGTGAAAAGCTATGCACACGAAAGGGGGACTCAATTAGGCTTAGAGCCGAGAAAGTGAACACGAAAAGAGCGACCATAGACGAAATCGGACCATACAGGAATGCCCTTATAGTATTCGAAACTGTTTGCTCTTCCCGAACTATAGTTCTCTTCTTGGTGGCTGGCAAAGTAACCTGGGGAAAAGAACTGAAATAGTAAAAAATCTCACGTTCCCCTCAGAACTCGACTTGATATATTTCATAAACTGCGCATATAACTTACTCTGAACGATAATCCCCCCCCAGGTTCAGTTCTTGGGTCTTTATATTTTCTTCTTCCTTTTTCCCTTAGCTACTCTCTATTTTGACCTTACTAGCGGCATTGCACTCTCCGTGATCAAAACGTTTATTGTAGGAGAACGACATAGGTATGAAGTAATACACGGAGAAATACTAATATTTACTGCAGTAATAATTCTTGCCCCCCGACCCACCACGCCGTATGACTAACAACATACTAAAAGAATGGTTTTTGAACGTAAAATAAATACATTTCATATAAAAAAAACTAGAACCCTTAATACATTTGGGGGACGTTGGATGATGAATGAAGCGGGGGTCTTGGAAGATGGGTGATGAGCAAATTTGGTATCGGCTATGCGTGTGCTGAGAGACATGCGCTGAGAAGTCAGAATTGTATAAATCGTAGCTCGAGGAGCCTTTAGCTCCTGGAGAATAGACAGATAAGACCGCACCACGCTTCCTTAGTCTTTCAGATAATGTGCTTCATTCTCCGCACCAAATCCGAAGTACTAAAAGCACCGAAACACTTTTTTCACTTTCCTATCTGTTTCGACCACAGGGATACTGCTCTCGGGGAAATCCCAGCAGAAACCCACCGACCGAATACACCGACACCACCCAACACCGAAGGGGCAGTATCAAACGACGCCGACAAATCAAGCTAGAGGAGGATCATCGCACAATGTTGACTTCTGTCCAATAAATCTTTCAGGGGACCACCACACGGAATTGATGTTTATATGTTGAAAATTAAAAGTATTATTTGTGACGTGGACAATCCCCACGCTCAAGGATGTTATACAGAAAGTAACGTCCTGGCCCATATATATATTATACACACCACCGAGAAGCAAAAGGGGCATAAAGGAAGGAAAACAAAAGGAAATACTCATAATCAACGCTAAGAAAAGGAGAAGGAAACAATTTGCCCGATACATTTTACAACGTAGGAGCCTGTTTTTACCAAGAAAACTGAAAACATGCGTAATCAAATCGAAATCTAACCGACCATCCAAACTACTATTTAGCCTCCACCGGCTCTGTCCCAGCCGCGAGCCTTCCTCCTGGCAACTCCACTAACACCGCCCCCTTCTTTGGACTCAGGTGTCCCCCTGTGTACCCTGCCTCTATGACCTCCGTTGCTTCCAGCTCTAGGTTGATCCTCCGTTCGCCCCGGTTCCGCCGGTGCCGGCGACAGAAGAAGAATGCGGCTATGCAGATCGCAATGGCAACCATGCCGCCGGCGATGACGCCGCCTGCTATCGCGGATTTGTTCACGCGGCTGGAGGAGCCGGAGTCGCTGTCGCTGTCTGCGCTGGCGCCGCTGGACGACGTGGATGTCTGTGAGGTTGTCTCAACTTGCGTCACCGTTGGCCTGCTCGTCTCCGTCGTGCCTGTGCTCGATGGCGATGGCCCGCCAGGTGCATATCCCTCCGCATCCACCCCTACCACGCCCCGCGCCCCCTCCGATGTCCCTACCATCCACAGCTCGTCCTGGTTCCTCACGTATGCCAGCCCTGCCACGCCTCGAGCCAAAACGCCATCATGTGAGTCCTCGTCTGAATCTGGTGCCCATGAGATCAGGTCCCCTGACACGTTAAAATCCCCTGCCGGCCTTTCTTCCGTTGAGTTCGCATCACGCTGCGGTTTCTGTGCAATAAAATACTTTTTTTGCACTGGAGAGTATGCTATCCCGCGGACCCGGACGATGTCCATGCGCCATGCCCAGGTCGCCGTCGCGATTAGTAGCCCGTCAGTCATGACAGTCTTGAGACGCCCACCTCCGGGCGTGAAGGGCCACTTTATCATATACGTGCCCCTCGCCGCCGACGTCTCCCAGTCGCCAGCCAGCATCGATGGGGAGCCATCCGCAACCTCCGTCGATCTATCGAGTGTTAGGAATGAAAATTTGAATTCTTGGAACGGTTGTAGGAAACGCTTGTCGTTGGTGCTCGGCACGTAGCTGCGGGCCTGTGGGAGGACATAAGTCGCGTTGTGCGGTGAGCTGCTTGGATTGACCTTCCAGATGTGCGAGAGGTCGAAGGCGAGGATTCCGGTTGTGTCATTGCCAACGTAGAGCCAATTGTGGTGCCAGACCAGTGAGGTGCCGGGGTCAACGCCCCCGAGCGGGTGGATCTCCAGTTCGGATTCCTCGGAGCTGCGACTCAGACTGACTAGGTAGATGTGGGCGTACTTCTTGACAGCGGATTTTGAAGTCGAAGTTGCATTTCCAATGATGGTGATCCGGACGCCGGCATTGTTTTCCTGTCTCCAGCTGACAATGGCAGTGTCTTTTGCTGAGTCATCACCCTTCCACCCATCCTCGCCCTCTGATACTGTCGGCGACGCATCCTCCCAAGTTGCAAGGCCTGCCGGCACCCATCCAGCATCAGCATCTTTCTGGTCTTCCTCCTTGTTCCATCCGAAGCCACGAGTGTAGTGCTTGGGGAGCATCTCAGCATCATTGTTGGATGCCACAGGAGTACCCGAGGGAGCAAGTATAAAGCGTAGGAACTCGGGAAGATTATAGACGGAGAGTACAATGGGTGGGGGGGAAGTAATGGAGGGGTTGTATCCGGTTTCACGGAGTTTAAGACTGGAGGAGGGGAGGGCTTCGGACACTGTCGGGGGTGTGAAAAGAGAGAGGAGGAGGAGCGGGAGCGTGAGTGGGAGGCAGGAGCGAAAGGAACTGGGAAGATGGTGAGGGGTTGATGAACGCATGTTGAAGGGTATCTGCATAGGAGAACTCAAAATGTGTCCTCACGAAGCTGCTTTCCCTTCAGAGCACTTGTATCTTTCGTTGTTAAATTCACCTTTATTCCAATTCAACTCTAGCAAATCCTTTCCCTTGCGATCCCTGTACCCACCCTTAACCACGCGCCGTTAGGAACAAACGTTAAATCAAGGTCTGGTGAATTTACCAGAGGTTGAGTATAGATGTAAAAAAGGAATCCGACAAGCCCACGTCGAGCGCCCAACTGCCAACGTCGATGTTGTTTTCGAGATCCACCTCCCCACTGCTTGTGCACCGTGGAGCTTCGCTTGGTGGTCGACGATGGTTTTTGTTGTGAGTTTCCGACTGTCAGAAGTGTGCCGGCTTTTGAACCGAATTAATTGGTGGGCTGATTAAACTTAGTCCTCACGGCAAGGCCCGTTGTACATTCTCACAGCCTGTTCAACTAACCAAATGAAGGTAGAGGCTCACTATTTGTTGGTAATCGCAGGTGGATATTGGCATACCCATCTTCCCAGAATGGAGTACTGGCCCGACACACTCGGTTCGCATTCTGTTGCTTGACGCCCCACCAGAACGCAAAAAATAGTTGAAAGCCAAAAATATGACAGCGCACCAAGATCGCATCGCCTCATAGGGTCATAAAAGGGGAACACAGTAAGTATGGGCAAATAATGCACCCCTCTCTTCAACCAACATGAATGTAATGTACTGCATCATCCCTGCATCTGGTATTTAATTTTGGGGTCAATTGCAGAATTTCAGATCTGAGTGCTTCACGGAGTCATAGGCACATGATACAACGGTCAAGATTCAGCGATTTTTGTTATGTATGAAAAATCGCATTATGGGATTTATGGACTCAGCTATTGTTATGATAATACCTGATTAGGCAGCTATTAGCATAGCACGCTTGAGCGAAGTGATGCGGGTAGTGCGGCTAAGAGGTTAGTGCCACTAAAGTATGGTAGAGATGAGTACAAAATCTGTGCCCCCCCGTTCACGTACCCAACTTGTGATGATCTTCCCGAACCGAAGCGAGGCTGACGCGCGATCAGTCACACACCAAATTTTCTAATCGCAATGTACCTGAGCACAAACTGGGCTTAGAGGTGAGAGTAGATTAAAGGTTGTGCCTATCTACTTTCGTAGCCGGCCGAACGTTTTTGGATCAGATTGAGAAGCAACAGCGTACTTCGTCCGTTTTGGTTACCTTGCAGTTGCCAAGAACTGCTGAGGCTCATGTATGTGCGCAATGCAAGCGAAACTAAAATTTAAAATTCACCTGCGTGCTGTGTCTCATCATACATTTGTAGCTCTAAGTCCTTTAGCGCCTTTTTTTAGATTTGTGGTGCATGCACAATCGAAAATTTGAATGACCTTTGGCGCTAGCACGTCTATTCATCAAAATTGATGATTTGTGCGTTATTCAGAATAGTGGCGTTATTCAGAATATCATCAACTCATGTGTATGTATTCATCGCAAACAGCTAGCGGCCGGCGCAAGAACAATGCAACACCAAGCTACGCAGTACCACTGCGCGACACTTAACTGTGCGACACCAAATTATACGAACTATCACCTTATATTTATCTAGGCGGCAACTGCCAGTGCTTCAGACAAATACCATTACTCACATGCCGCCCAATGGCTTATGGCGAGAGCCTGATTAAATAGCGGTTCTGAGACTAGTAGTCGATATGGCTGGTCATCAGTTGACGATAGCGTTGATTGATAATTTATACGCGCAATGCCACTTGTTCATCAATTGTAATGCACGATAACGCAAATAGTGAATCAACTGCCTCGTGCTTCTT